AGAAAATTAAGTGCAGCAGGGAAACCAGATAGCAATTCTTGAGCCAACAGAAGGTAGAAAATGCTCCTTTCAAAGCAGGACAGAAAATTGTGCCCCTGTTTTATATACTTTGATTTTGTTTCTTAAATGAAGAATTCATCTCTGTGGAATGTCATTCTGTTACTTTCAGCCCCATTTAATCATTTAATCATAGACCAACAAATAAAACAAGATAATCCCAATTAATTATGATAAAAAAGAAACAAAATAATTATTTTAAAATGTCTAAGAAGAATTAGAAGGTATACTACAACGTACTGTGCAAATGATCAAACAGTACTTAGATGGTGGTAAAAGAAATAAAATCAGCCCTCTTTTGTAAAATTACTATATATACTTGCAGATGCCAAGAATTTTAGATGCCAAAATGTATCCAAACAATAAGGCTTACCTTAGCCATGGGTGGCGTTATTTTTAAATGTATCTGTGTATTCCATACTGTATATACTTGCATTTAGCCCCATCTGCAGATGAGTTGAACCTTGATTTTTTATTAAAATACCATGAAAAATGGATAATCCATGGATTACCCCAAGTAAGACAACTGTGAAAATTGAAACATATGAACATTTTGAGGGTTGGCTTATTCAGGGATGATGTATTTTTGGTTAAAAATTCAAGGGTCAGTTTATCAGAGGATAATTTTTATCCATGAGTGTATTTAATACCAAGATCTCTATAAATGTTGCCTTATGAGGTATTAGCCATCCCATCCAAGATATGTCATTTGCAGATCTGATAAGCCTTCCTACATCTCTTCAACAATTTTATTAATAAAAATGTTAAACCATGGAAGGCTCAAGGTTGAACTATTTGACACTCAACTTTAGCTCACTCAAGAACTCATGAGAATTCTTTTGAGAATGACTTCAAGCCATCTATGGATTCTATTAATTGGTATGCTGACTAGTACTCACTTAATTGACTTCCTAATCAAAATCTCTTTATAACTACATGCACATAACAAAGTTCATTAGTCAGTTAACAGAAAGCCTATATGGGTTTATATAAACTATGAAGTTTACAGATTAGGCTGGGAGGTTGGAGGAGCCCCATTCATTCAGGTCACCATTCCAACATGATGTCAAAAAAATACCCTTTTGCAATGCTATTCCATTATATGTTTTGTTCTTTCGAAATAGCCAGAGGTCCATGCAAGCAGGATATAGTACTGCCTTGTTAGGCATTTGACAGCATCCCTCCCTCCCTCCCTCCCTCCCCCCCTCTCTCTTTCTCTTTTTTTTAGTTCAGAAAAAGACCAAAACAAATAAAACCCAGAGGTTTTATTAAGTCCCATTGAATTTGAGGAAAATTATGTCTATTTAGACAAACTGAACTTGCTTTGTAAAGCAGTTTTATTTGCATGTCAGATGGTAGATGCCTAATACTTTAACCAATTAATTACTGTATTCTCTATATGGATCTGCTGATACCTAGGATTGAGTGTTCAATCCTAGGTAGTGGCAGATGTTTCTTTCCTGGGGCGCAAAGAAAAAATATCTGCTCTAAACTCCGCATAGCCATCAGGGCATCTGGCCAGTAAATGCTCAGCTCCATCTAGTCGTCCTGATGCTACCCCAAATTAAGGGATTACAGGATCATAAAAAGAGAGTATATTTTCTAATTTCCCCTTTTTCTTATTATTAATGTTGGTTGCACAATCAGCCAGATGTTTGGACTGAATATGTCATTTTTATCCACCTGTTAAGTACTTTCCAAGGACCTGGGACAGGCAGATGTTATGTTTTGATGGTTACAGGATATAAGCTGTTCCAAGTAAAGTTGCCTTTTGCAATTGACTGATAGTGAAATTATCAATGCCAGTGATGTTCAAGTAATGCTCAGATGCTTTGGGATTGCAGTTAAGATGCCTATTATTATTGGTATTATTTTTGCTTTCTTTTGCCACAAGTCTTATTTTCAAGTCTTTGAATTTTGTGATTTTATCCAGTTCTTTCTTTTCTATTCTGCTGTCTCCAGGTATTGAAGGTCTGCTATCCAAATATATATATATATTGCTTTTTTAATTGATAAATGTTAAATATGGAGTGCTTTATGGTAGGTGTCTGCCTGTTTGAAATCTAAAGTCCTTGAGCACATTAGCTTCTTCATGTTCTATTACTTTGTCTATCTTGTGATTCCCCCAGTTCTTGCTTGCAGGCAAATGGTATTTCTTGCAGATAGTCTAAAGCGTCATTGTTGTTACTTTGTCATGCTGTTGTTTGTGGTTAGTCTGTGTGATCAGCTAACTTAGAGGGACTCTTGTTTCTTCAGCTTCTTTGCAGAGGCTGATTGTGCTATTTGTTGCACATATAGGTTATCCTAAGCTTATATTAAAATTCTTGGAAGGATTCTATACATAAATCAAACGCATAGACAACCTTATTCTTACCTCCACATGCAATTTAGGGTAAACATAATCATGGATGAAATAAGAGATGTTTATGAATATCATACTAGTGATCATAAGTGATGTTAGAAATATTATAGAAACCAGTAGTCCCTGTGAAAAGCCTTCTAAGATTATCTGCATGTACTCTTTTCTTGACATAAATCAATATTATATGAGCTAGTGGGATACCATGCACAGTTTTTTCCATGAATCTCCCTTTAGCAACTGCTTTCTTCCAAAGAGATTTATTGTCTGTGCTGCAAGCTGCCAGCTGAAATTGCCGTGAAAAAGATATGAGAATTCCTAAGCTGAACAGCTCATGCAAGGAATGTAGAGATGGATTAATTGCTACAAAGGGCTTTTAAACTTTTAGAAGAAAGAATTACAGAGGTGTTAGACACTCATCATGACATAGTTCTGTGGTCCTCAGACAATTCCCTCCTTCAAATATATAAAAGTACAAAACTCATCTACCCATCTTGCAATTCCTGGATATATGAAACAGTAAGATCATATTTAATGCTATATGTTTGTTAGGTAATATTCTCAGTAATATGCCATCTCAGACAACATAGATATATCATGTATATATTATTTAAGTTTTTTTTAAAGCATTATTTATGAAATAAGAAATATATTGCTTTATTTATGAGCCAATTCTTTTATGTATGAATTTCCCAAATCCCTATAACAGAAAGTCAGGTGATCATTTAGACTCTGAAAAACACAGGGAATAATTGAGAGCCAAGACAGATATATTGCAATAATACATTGAGCTATAATTCTTAATTGGAATATTGTTAGAAGAGACAGCAACAGCTTTAAAAAAATAAGACTTTCTCCACCATTTATTTCAATATACAGCAAGCACAAATCTGGCCTTTATTATTTTCATTTTCCAGTATCAAACCTAGTAAAGAATTCTAGCAGACAACAAACTCGTGCATTTTTAGATAGTTTTGCAATAAATCTCCTTTGCATTTAGATTAAAAGCAAACAAATGAATCCATAAGTGAAATGGCAATGGGTGTATGATACAAAATCACTAGACATGGTTAACTCATGGAATAATTTACTGCTCCTAAGAAGGTGTTTTTCAGATGAATAGTTCAAACTTCTATTTTTGATCATTCTAAGTTTATAGTGATTCAAGTTCATGTCACATCACTCTGCCCATGGGACAATCTCCTTCAGGATTTCTATCTGTCTAAGGCAACTTTCCACTTATCCAATAGAGGTTTCCAGCATGTAGAAGACACTCTGGTTTGATATTGTTTATTTCTACCAATGGAAGGTAGCAGAAAAAAACAAGGCACCATTCTGTCCTACAACCCCATCAACAGGGTACAGAATTCTATTTGTATTCCTTTATTAACCCCAGAATTTTTGTTTAAATCTACCTGGGATGGTTAAAAATAAGCCTTGTGACTTTCAAAAGACAGCCAAATGTAAACATTACCTACTGAAGAAATAGCTAAATTCAAGCAAGGTGGGTTTTTCTTTTTTTTACATTTATTCACACAAACATTAAAAGAAAAAATGCTTGATGTGTTATACTGAAGCCCAGAAAAGTTAGAACAATATAGAATAGAACAGAATAGAATAGAATAGAATAGAATAGAATAGAATAGAATAGAATAGAATAGAATAGAGCTGGAAGGGACATTGGAGGTCTGCTAGTCCAGCCCCCTGCTCAAGCAGGAGAACCTATACCATAATACCATATAGTAAGACATCTAGCTTACCTTTTTTAAAAAAATAAAAACTATTCATGTTAACTTTCAAATAACTTCCAGAAGACTTCAGATACCTTGCCATCTATTACAAACAGACTTGAGGGTTAAGTTGACAGCCTGTGATGGTCCTTGTCAGATTTTATGTCATCATCATCATCATCATCATCCTAATTTCAAAAGCCTGCCCAAGGACATCTTTTCCATTCCTTGGCAGATTGAGATATGGAAGATGTCAAAAGGAGAGGACGAAGGAGGAAGAGGAAGACAAATCAGAAAGAGAAGGGCTATTCAAGAGCAAGGTTAAATGGCCTTCCTCACTTTTAACCACAGTTTTGTTTTAGTCCCTCCCATTTACAATAGTGGGAGGGACTTCCCAGGGCATGCAGCTCATAACATAAAAGAATTAATACTTTGGGTCCATTATTTGGTTAGAAGAAGCAGGGACGTGCTCCATCCAAATTAAGCTCAGCTGAATTATCTTCACATGTTGGGAAATGAATTAATTAATCGTTGTTGCCTCACTCTCTCAGATTCCTTTTGCAATAGAGACTAATCTATGCCCTACATAGTTCAGAAATAAGTGCATGCCAAAGAAATACACTCACAAACGAACAGGCATTTTGTTTACAAGTGTGTTCTGAAGTTGGATTTGTATTCAAATCATGTTGTGCTCAATAAATAGACATTGTTGCACTTGGATGCTTTCCTCTTTTTCTTTATCTGAACAATGGTTAAGAAGCCCTGCTACATTGGTGGATGAATGTCATCACTCTTATATATCCAAACAATAAGCCTTTGATATGTAATCAATTTGTATGCATTTTTTCTTATAGATTTTCGTTATATTCAGTATCAGGGGAATTCTTATATGGAATTTAGAGGGATTACTTTGCATCAGTACAATAGCATCAGTTTACAATTCCAGACCTCTGGCTTCCACGGCCTCCTTCTCTATATTGAACAGAAGCCGACAACAATGGGCAACTTTGTTATTCAGCTTTCTATCAAGCGTGGTAACTTAGAGGTAACACTTCAAATTATTTGTTTCTAAATTCTATAAGGTTCTTCTTTATAAAGAGTTTTAGAAGTCTGTGTTTGCAGATTGGAAGGCATAAAATTAACTGTCCAGAAATAACCAGATGTTCCTTTTAACCAAAAAAATAAAAATAAAATCCTTTTAGGGAATTCTCTTTGTGAGAATTATTTGAATGGGAGATAGAGTAGATACCTATCTAGCAGAAGTGTAATATGCATGGATTGGTATTCGTGGCCTCTGCCAAAAATGAAATTTAATAAATACGGTGCATTAAACCATGGAGCAAAAATATTAGGTACATCACAAAGATATTAAAATGCCTGGTTATTCTCCACATAAACCTTGATGCTAACTTGATAGCATTAATCCTTAGATTGTTCTATAAATTTGCTGTACAAAGGAAAATGGAAAGGTAATATATTCATTATTCATTCTTTATTCTTAATGAAAAATATGAAACTGATTGTAGATGCATTGTAGCTATTTTGTATAACAATGACTGAGTTTTCCCAACAAACTCTGAGAACTATAGTTTTACAAAGAGCTGATGAGAACATCTGAGAAACACCTTAGTTTCAAAGGACCTTTCCACTTATTGCTTAATATGTTGGGCACATCAGTCAAGAAATATAATAGCATACAGCAAGGAAATTGTTAGGCAGGAGTTTGAATGTTAATTCTGATTTTAGGAAAACTCAAATAATCAATGTAATAATTATATTCATTTTGTAAGCCGCCCAGAGTCTCTATAACAGTTAGATAGGTGGGATATAAATTTAATAATTAAATCAAATTATCAAATAATAAATGAATAGGGATAAGGATAAGGACAACAGCATTTCTTAGGCTGACATTTTTGCACTATTGCAAATATAAACCTTAGTCACAGGAAATATTTATACTTGAGTTAAAAAAAATGTTTCGTGGTTTAAAATCATTGTTGTCTGAATTAGTTGCAGTATATTATATATCTCTTCCTATGGAGTATTTATGTATCTTGATATGTTGTTTCTACATGTCTCTAATCCATGATGGCCAAGAATTTGAATTTTTCTCTTCTTTTCTTTTCTCTGCAAATAGCTTTAGAGTCCTGGTTAAATAAATATTTGTAATCCAAATAGTTAAAAAAAAAATTCTCCTGAAATTTATAATTCTGTCTTTGTCTACAGCCCAGATTATTGTCTTTTTTTCCCACAGCTGTTCTTTGTTTTTAAACCTTTGAAGGTCACAAACACAGATTAGCTTTTCTGTGGTTTTCCAAGTCTTATATGAAAGTCATAGCTGCCATAATCTTCACCCACCACTAGGTGTCAGCATCTATATGTTTTTCAATTTCCAGAATGAACAATTGTCTTTAGAATGAGAGTCTTAATTATTCAACAATATTAGATTTATCCAGATTTAAGTTTTAAATTTCAGGTTTTATATTTATTTCACTCCCATATATTTTGATCCTCCATAAAAAGATTAATTTGCCACTTCTGTTACTATAAGAAATCCCCCTCCTTCCCTTTCGGAGGTATTTTGCTTCTTGCAGATCATTTCCAGGAAATTAAATATAGAATAGAAAAGAAAAGATCAAATTCCTCACCTAGTTTCAAACACGCTGTTCACAGTTGTGCTGGTTAGTACTTTTGGACTTCGATTGCAAGTAGGTTGGGCTGGTTGATGAAGTATGGTCAGCCTTTCTCTTGTTGGGTTAGAAGGCTTTCCCCAAGTTGAATGGACTGACCGCCATCATTCCAGAATCTCTGGGGCACCCGTCTTTCTTCGCTGCCTCTCGGGGCGACTTAGACCTATTTAGGGTCCCCTGGCAGGGCGAAATTAGCCGCAGGGGTGCGGAGAATCCATAAGCCCGTGACTGGTTGCTACTGCACAAAACCAGAATCAAGAAAATAGATGATGGGACCTACCAGAGAGAATACTTAAAAAAGAAACATTTGTTTGAATATGGTTAAAGAAATAGAAAAGATTTCGAATATATATGTCATTCTAAGAGGGATGGATCCCTTAAATAATATAGTATGATTTTTCCCCTTTTTTATTCTATTTCTTGATATGAGTATTATAAAAAAGTTGAAATGGCTTAGATAAAAGGAAATGTTTTAGATATTTACATCTGATTGAATTTAAGAAAATTATAATGGATAAAAATGTTTTGAATAAGATATTTTTGAATAAGAGTTAAAGGACTAGATGACTAGCTATATTAAATGGAATATTTAAAGATTAAACATTTTTAATTATGGTTAAAAAGAATAAGAAATCTTGGAAACAAATATATATTAGCTTAAGAGGGATATATATTTTAAGTAGTATGTTATTTTTTCTTTCTTTACTCTTGCTCTCCCTTTTTTACTGTTTTATTTATTCCTTAAGAAATGTAAAAGTGCTGAGTTCATACGGAAAAAGATAGACTTAAATTTTTAAATGTAATTAATTTTAGAGAAAATCTTAACCAGTAAGAATACTTTGAATTTTGTGGGAGAAAAAAAATTAAATAAGGACTGTAACAGGATATATGATAAGGCAACTAGAGTGATTGGATAGAAAAGAAATATTATATTGATGTGACTATTATTTTTTAGGAATATTGGGAAAAAATAAATATATTTAATTGTTATCTATCAAAACAATAAGAATTGTATTAACTCAATGTCTGCAAAAGAGAACATTTTGGGGAAAAGAGGAAATCAACTAAAACCATTATGTGGATTATGGATTATAGAAATCAATTGTTAGTGATTGTTTTACAAATGTAAACCCAGACAACACACTGTTCCCCAATTATTAAGTGATTTATGTTTTTAAAAAAATCAATAAAATATATTACAAAAAAAAGTTTCATATCAACTTACTAATTGGTGTAAATGGAGTAGAATACAAAAGCAAAGCCTCAAAATGTTTTCCATTCAACTATCTAATTGTTGTATTTACTCCTCTCACATTTTGCCCATTATTTACAGACATTTTTATGATTGGCCTTTACATACAAATTATCTACAAAATCTCTTTGAAAAATAAATTCCTTTTGCAGAAAAAATATTGGGAGCATCTAGATTTAAAAATTAACCACAAAACAACAAGGAGTATACCTCTTTTTAACACTTATATTTTATTGGGTATTGCTAATCTAGTTAAAATGTTAATATATATGCTAGTCCGTGTATGATATGTCATATGCTGAATAATAATTTTAAAAAATCCAAAATCCAAAATTAAAAAAGAGGTTAATAAAAATAATTTTAAAAATATTTTTAAAAAGGACAAACAACACAAAGCCTTCCTCTTCCAAAAAACAATCTAGAACCAATGCTGTTCATACAATAGAAGCAAATATGTGAAAAAAATCAGGTTTTCCAAATGTTCCAATTAAGTGGTTCTCAACCTTTTCAATGCCGTGACCCCCAACCGGTCGTAAGTCGAGGACTACTCAACCGGTCGTAAGTCGAAGACTACTCAACTGGTGCAGCACCGTTTGCAGAATGGGACTTTTGGCAGGCTCAGCAGGGCAGAGACAGCCTGGACAATTCCTATTGGCTTTTGAAAGCCAATAGAATTAGACTCTATCCAAGAGAGTCTATACTATTGGCTTTCAAAAGCCAATAGAATAAAAGGGAGTAGCACAGCTAAGGAAAAGGGGAAAAAATGGTGAACTGCATTGTTTGGCGACCCCCGTGAAATGGTCGTTCGACCCCAAATGGGGTCCCAACCCATAGGTTGAGAACCACTGTTCCAATTCATATTGAAAAGAGCTGATCATTCTCTGAACCAATTTGGCATCCATTTGATATAAAATTAGCATCTTTCATTCATAGACCTACTATATAGCACCGAGGGCAGCACCAACTTGGATTGTTCTTGGTGTAGTTGATAAATCAGCTTTAAACCTCTTAAAAATGTCATCACATACCAAGCATAATAGCAAATGGATAAATCCTCTGTAAATTAAATTGACTTATGCATGTATAGCAATCTTTGAAGTAAAGGGAAACTATTCATGGATTTCTGTTTGAAATGCTTTTTGGACATGTTCACTTTTTGTAAAAGCCAGACTATAAGGATAATTGGTATAATTCAGGCTTCCTTGTGAGTTGGGATTTACCCTGCCCTGTTTGTTAGGCAGATTTTATTCTGTTTCAGGACTCATGGAACACTTTTGTTCATATAAAGCCTAATATTCTGACTTGTCCCAATTTAGCTCAGTCCTGATCACAAATTTCTGACATCTCCAAATGTGATAAATCAATCTTTTGTTTTCTTTTTGTTCAGTACCAATTCACATGCGATAGCGGAGATGAAATTAAAAAGATCAGTACTGATATCAGGGTGGATGATGGACAGAAATATGAAGTGCACATTAGGTAAGTTTTGTGTTTTTCTATAAAAAATAGCTGAATCTGACTATAAGCATATTGGACCAATCACTTCATTGGCAGACAGCCACTTTAGCTAACTGTGTTCAGCAGGTCAGCGGTTCAAATCTCACCGGCTCAAGGTTGACTCAGCCTTCCATCCTTCCGGGGTAGGTAAAATGAGGACCCAGATTGTTGGGGACAATGTAAATATATATATACATTGCTTACTGGTGTACACCGCTTAGAGAGTGCTTGCACTTAAAGCGGTATATAAGTCTCATAAATAAATAAATAAATTGGCCCTGATTAAAGAGAAGTAGATATGGTATGTGCTATGATATCATTTTCAGATAAGTAATGTAACAAACTAAGATGAAGGATTCATTTGTATTCCAGAAGGCTTTCAGCAAGTTAAAGTTCTCCAAAAAAAACAAAAATGTTAATGTCATGTTGGTAGAAATACAATATTTTTTGAGAAAAATGCCGATTAAAACCTAGGTAGAACTGTCTTTGATCTGTAGGAGCTTCAGTGGTGGGGTTCAAATATGTGAACAAGCAGTTCTCTGTGTGGATGCCATTTCCAGAAGTCGATTCTGGGCCTGGACAACAAAAACTTAGCTACCGGTTTTGCTGAACTGGTGCGAAATGGCTGAGTTCTACCACTGACAAGCTTCTTATAGTGTCACCAAAAACCATGATTAGAAATCAGGTCTTCTGACGCAGGTTGAGAGAGTATATTTTGGTAGTGGTGGTGGTCAAAGAGGCTGTGGGCCCAACTTTTATAATTTCTTAATTTAATTTTTTCTTGGGAGTGAAGAAAACCATATTCTTCCCTGTGATCATTTTGAAACTTACATCTGCCTTTGGAGAACTTTTCATGTGCTATTTTCTTATCCCAAAGTAAGGTTTTATGTGTTTATGGTGCACAAGACACATAAATGGGTTTGTGTAGAAGACCTGTTTGTTATTCCTGATGTTTACCTGTCAAAAAAAGCATCTGAAGAAAATGAAGTTATGCAATAGGTTTTATTAGCATAATATCAAAACTAATCAAAAGCACATGATTTGAATATATATGCTTTGGTTAACTCCAGAGATATTAAACAATTCAGTGAAGAAAGATGTGATGTGATCTGTACCTATTAAAACAACTCCTTACCCTTTGAAGTTCACTGTTTCCTGTTCTCATTCTCCACAGCCCTGCTCCCTGCTTTTCACCAGCCAAAGCAGAAATTAAAACTTTTGTTCTGGTATTGAACAAATGGCATGACATTTACATTTGAGAAATTGTACTTTAATTAGTAGGCTTTCCTCCCAGCCTGTTATCTATAGCAGTTGCTTCACTGCAACTAATACCTACTGCTCACCGATGATGACCACTGATGTTACCTAGTTTAGTTAATGAAACGTCTGTAAGAAAATAACTAAGCTCAGAAAGCACCAAGGACCCCTCATTTCAACTCTGAGGGACAAATAGCTGTGTGCATGAGGAACCATTCAGAGTTATCACTCTAGGACAGATAGTCCCATGATGAGTGAAGATGCTGCTGTTGCCAAGGTATATGCAGAGGAAATAGTCAGTTCTTCTCCCATGTAAAGCAACTCTTAGATTATCCCAGAGCAAGTCAGAATCTGACAACAGTGCCAGCTAATAGCTTTTTCCAAATCACAATTTAAACAAAACATTTGTGTTTTTAAGTTCAGTTGATGTGAATAATTTAGTTGGCTTATATCCAAATATGCATGGAAAAGGAAAGTTAGATGTTTACTGTCTCTCATTGTTTTTAGTGATGGTTTACCTGAGTTAACAGAAAGACACTTTTAAGATTTCAAGCACATAATGAATATTTAGAAGTAATGAAACAGTACATAAACATTGTATTGTTGTCCATACGTTGTAAATGGAAGGCTAAATATGAGAACACTATTTTGCCTAAGACTGCCTAATACATTGTGTCAGAGGTGAAGTTTGCAAAAGTCATGATTCACTGCTAATTGATTAGACCTTGTATTACTTATGCAGCATCCATGCAATGATTGACACTTCATTGAGATATAAGCTTATTTAAATTGGAACCTTTCCATAATTAAAGAGTGGTTTAAATGGATTTATATAGAAGATAAATAAAAGCAGACATATTCAGGATATGCATCCAGATCAAATAAGAGCAATCAGGGAAGATAGATAGCTGGTATCAAAGAGACAGAGATTGCTGAGAGCAGCTGGTTATTTCAGATTATAGCATGAGATGGAAATTTCTGCTACATTTCTGGTATTGTTTTTATCATACACAGGAAAATGATAGCACATTATTCAATTTGATATGCATTATCATATTTGTGAATTGAATTGCAATAATGTCTGGGTTTTAAATGTGCCAATGCCCAGAAGAATTTATGATGAAAAGTCCTCCAAATTCATGATTAATTAAGTTATTTAATTCCCAATATGCCTGTTTCTATATTTTCAGTTGAGTTGTTCCACCTGCAGAATAAACATATCCAACAGCACTTTCCTCCTCCTATTATCCCCATAACAACAATCCTGTGAGGTGAATTGGATTGATAGAGAGTGACTCACCCAAAGTCACCCAATCGGCTTTCTTTCTTTTTTTTTAGCCAATTACTACTATAGTTTTTATTATTTCTTGTTTATAAAACAGTAAAACAAACAAACGAAATGAAACAAAACAAAAGCATACATTCAACCCTAACAACAAAAAAGAAAAAAAAAATAGTGTACAAAAAAAGAGGAAAAAGTGGTCAATTAAATTTAACATTTAATATTTTTAATACTCTTTCAGCTGGGTGCTGAAAGAAAAGAAAAAACAGTAAATTCTCCTCCCCTTTTATAATTATAAATATGAAGAAAGAAGGAAAAGCAGTCAACAAGTTGAGCTAAACATTACACTAATTTTCAAATTTTAGTCCATTCGTCCATACATTCTCCCATCTGTTAACCATCTGTTATTATATTTAGTGCATAGAAAGTCTACCAACAGTTTCCAGTCTCTTATAAAGCTGTCTAGTCAATTATCTCTAATCAAAGCAGTTAAGTTCATCATCTCCACTAGTTCAGTCAATTTCAAAATCCATTCTTAAACAGTTGACATCTCTTTTTTTCCCCAGTGTTTGGCAAATACAATCCTCACAGCCATCATCATGTGAAGGAATAGCATCCCAAACTGTTTTTCAATTGGCTTGTCCATCATACCTAAAAGAAAAGCTTCAGGTTTCATTAATAGTTGTATCTTAAAAATATTTTTCGCATTGTCATTGTTATATTTATCCAGTATGTCTTCACATATTTGCAAGACCATCACATATGATAAAATGAACCTGGATTTTGATTCCATTTCCAGCACTTATTAGAAATCCAGAAATACATTTTCGCTAGTCTATCTGGGGTCAAGTACCAACAATACATCATTTTTTAAAAGTTTTATTTCAAACTATAATTTAATGTGAATTTTAGTCTATTCGTCCATGCATTCTCCCATTTATCTAACATTATATTATACCCACATTTTTTTGCCCATTTTACCATATACTCTTTAACATATTCATTTTCTAGGTTCATCTTAAATAACATTTTATATATTTTAGAAGTCAAGTGGTCATCTCCGGAACATAAAATAATGTCCAATTCAGATTTAGTTGCTGTGAAAACAAACTTTTTTTATCAAATTTAAATGTTTCAAAAATTCCATAATAATTAAACCAATCACAAGAAAATCCTTTACTTACCAGTTGTTCTCTTGTCTTTATCTTAAATTCCTCTTCTTCAAATATCAATAAGTCTTGATATGTCATCCATTTACATTCCAAAATCATCTCTGTTCTATGTAGTGCTTCATGAGGTGATAGCCAAAGGGGCACTTTATCAGCTAGTCTTCTTTTATACATGTGCAATTGATTGCCTAATAGCATGAATCTTAAAACTAGGCTTAACTTTTACTTCGTCATACCACAGATAGGCATGCCATCTAAATCTCAAATCAAACCTTCGAGGTCTAACAGCCTTTAATTTTTTTAAAGTTATCCAATATTTTAACCATACCAGACAACTAGTATCATAATATAATCTAAAATCTGGCAAACCTAGACCTCCTCTTATCTTTAGACTCTTGTAGCAGCTTATATTCAATTCTTGGTTTTTTTATTTTGCCAAATAAATTTAGATATATCTTTCTGCCACTGTTAAAAAGAGGAATCTCTAATCAATATCCATACAGTCTGAAATAAAAATAACATTCTATGTAGTATATTCATTTTAATTACTGAAATTCTTCCCATTAATGACAAATCTAATTTTTGTCATTTATTTAAATCCAATTTTATCTCCTTTCATATTTTACAGTAATTATTTTTGTAAAGCTTAGAATTTTCTTCAGTGAGAGTCACCCCCCAAGGACTGTACCTTTTTCACAATTTTAAAACCAGTTTAAATTCCAATTTCTTCTTTTTTTTAATAAATATTTTATTGATTTTCTATTTTCACAAACAAGTGCTCAATAAATAACGTGGTGACTGATCTTCCACCTTTATGTTCTTAGCCAGTTTTGTCGTCTTTGATTTATTTATTCTTAAACCCGCCATTTCTCCAAACATTTTAATCTTCTTCATAACATGTTCAATGTTCTCTAGCTGATCTTGCGCAATCAATACCAAATCGTCGGCAAATGCACATAATTTTTAATTATGCACTTTAATTTGTAGTCCTTTTGCTCTGTTATCCTTTCACACCTAAGATGAGACTAGAACTCACAATCTCCTGGTTTCTAGCCTGATGTCTTAACCACTGGAGTCTCCTGAAGGTATTTTGAATTTTCCAGTGTGTCCCTTTAAGGATTGAAGATAAAACAATGGTAATACATTCAGGGAGATTAGAGACAAGAACGATGGATATTAATTTGGATTCAGTATACATTCCTGTGATATAGCTTGATAGTCTATCACATATGCTCCACAAGCCACATGTTCCAGGGTGCATCTGCTCCGGCTGA